GGTAGACGAAACCGTCCTGCAGCATCAATTTGCATATGGAACGTGCAAAGCACATACCGAATGTGGCTACCGCACTTGGTAATCTATCAAGTGCGCTTTGCGCGTCCCCCATACATTCGGACAGACGATGCCTTCGGTATACTCTAAATCGCACAGCTTTTATCCAGCTGCCCATTCAATGCCTACGCTTTGGAGTTCACTTAGTGCGTTCTCCAGTATTTCGCCTACGACGAAATGGAACACGAACGGCGAAATAGGCCACCCTTGACGGACGCCGCTGCTGGTTACGAACGGCCTATTTAGATTTTTGTAAACCCTTACACGTTTGGAGGTATGTGAGTACAGTGACCTCAGTAGGTTAACGTATTTCTGGGACATTCCTTTTCGAAGAAGGGAGCCCATCAGAGCTTCGCGGCGAACTCAGTCGAAGGCTCCTTTCAGATCAAGGAACACTGCGATTGTTGGTCGATGAGACGCCGATAGGACGCAGCTCAAGGATCTGACACAACGGCCAGGCCAGAATCTAGCTTGCTGTTCACGGATGTTGGTCTCTCTTAAAGGCGTCAGACGACGAATTATAACCGAAGCTAGCACTTTGGTGACTATCGGGATCAAGCTTATCCCGCGGTGGTTTCCGCAATCGTTGCGGGATCCTTTCTTGAAAATGGGAACGATCAGTGATTCACCCCAAGGTGAAGGAATGTGCTCTTGCATCGAAAGATTGCGCAGTAGGGTAGTAATAGAGTTTACGAGGTTATCCCCTCCCATCTTGAAAAGAGTGGGAGGGAGCTCATCAGGTCCTGCTGCCTCTCCTCGCTTCAGAGCTTGAATGCGAGACCGAACTTCTGCTTCCGTTGGAGGCTCGCATGACTGCCCACGGAGCTTCAGTTGCAGTTAAAGTAGCCTGGTTAGCATTAGGCCAGCTGAAATGTTCGTTGAAGTATTCTGCCCAGCGATCGAGTCGTTGATCTCTATTGTGAATAGCTCGTCCCCTCTTATCGCTGACTGTTTCACTAACTAGAGTTCGCCGACCTCCCGTATTGCGTACCAGTCGGAACAATCTTTGACTATTCTCTGATGCAGCTACTACTTCCATTTCACTAGCTATTGTTGCCCACCAGTTCTCACAGTTCTTCTTGAAACTCACGGTCCTTGAAGCTCTTCGTGAGCCGACGTTGTAGCTGCCGCCTCACTCTATTTTGATCCTGGAAGATCGGGACTTGCCGTTTTTGCTCCATCATGGCAACTGACTCCTGAGATATCCAATGCCTCCGATGGGTTTGAGGCTCAGGCCCACCAGCAACCTTCGCTGCGGAATGCATTGCTCGCCTAATCTGATCCCACTGCTTGTATATATCACCACGCTGAGGCGCACTTATCTTACGCACTAGCTCTGACTCATAGAGCGCATGAACTGCTGGAACAGATAGTCGTTGATGAGCTACCCGAGTTTGCTAGTTTTGTCGCCGACCAGTCAGTCGGAGAGTGAACTGTATCAGAACTAATGCGAGGTCAGACTCAACGAAGGTGGTCCAATAGGACCTGCAATTTTGTACTGAGCCACGCCAATGGTAACTTACTGCTGTGTGATCGACTTGAGTTAGCGTACTAAGTGAACTGGAGCACCAGGTTGCCGTGCGTCGAGAGCTGTGTCGGAAGTTGGTGCTTGATAGGAACAGATGATGGTCTGCGCAGAACTGAAGAAGTCGATCGCCCTTATCTGTTCGTTGGCAGGGCAGAGCACAACTACCGCCTAGGCAAGCTTCTGATGCGCTGTTTTCCAACCTGCGCGTTGAAGTCACCTGCAAGTACAACTATATCGGAGCTTCGACTCATCCGAATGAGATCGGTGAGTTCATCGTAGAAAGCGTCCTTTTGGGTATCAGAACTGCAATGCTGATACGATGAACAAACACCTTTTCGTGTTGCCTCCCGGACACTGATTGAACCCTGGAGACGCACTGCACATAAACGACTGTTGACGGGGATCCAATCGATAAGAGAGGACTCCGACCTATTACTTAGTACAATATCTACCCCGCGCTGACCTACTGAGCGGACTTCGTCGTTGCCTAATGTACGAAGAACATACCTTGAAGACAAATGAAGTGGCTTATAGTAGCAGGATCCTGAATTCGAGTTTCCGAAACGCAGCAAATATCGATTCCTAAGGATTCCTTTGTACGAGCCAGACAAGCTCGTTGACCTAGCTGCATCAAAGTCCTCACGTTGAAGGCCCCCAGATTAAGTGATTGACGAGGCTTCAGAATCTGCAATCCATTCCGTGGTAAATCACTTACGATGCTATTTGGCAATGACCTTTGGCGAGCGACATGCATAGATGCACACGCGCGTGCACGGATCTGAGGGAGGCCGTATGCACACAGGCGTTCGGTACTAAGAAATCCACCTTAGTTATCTGTCATTCTCAACTACTGGTTGTCTGCAGTAGTGGAACTGCAAATTAAACTAGGGCCGTCTGAGAACCTGATAATTTGGCGCACAATTAGTCCTGATGCACCGATATATACAGGCAGTGGGCCCGAAACCTCTATTCATCTGTTTACATGAACGTCCACGTGGTTAAGTTTTGTTATTTAGGTAGATATATCTGACTCGGTGAACGCATCACGGATGAAGTGTCTGCTTGCATAGAGGAGGCTCGTTTGGCACTTGCCAACTTGAGACACCTGCTGTCCGTTAGGCAAAATAGCGTAAAAATTTGACCATTAAAAAACCAGATAACGATACATTGTCAATGTTGGAACATGGCTGTCTACGCAGCATTGCAATCTCGTGGGGCAACCGGACAATCAATGCTGAGATTAGACGAACAGTTTTATATAACTGCGGTTGCCCATTAGGACACGTGGTCGACCTCCATAGTTTACGTTGTTTGGGGCATGTGTTACACATGTCACCAAATAGGTTGCCACGGCGCGCGACTTCGCCGAGGGAGGTAATGGATGGAAAAAACCAAGAGTGGTGAAACTAAGGTTTAGCACGGGGGTATGAAAATCCTAGCTAGGAGACTGTGTTAAAAGGTTGCGTTAGACTCACTGGATGGCGACCTTGGGGTAATTGTAATCAATAGTTAAAGACAGTGACATGGCTGAGTATCCTTAACAGTAGCGTTCGCGCATCTTCCTAATTTCTTTGCAACCTTAGACCACTGGAATTCTCCATTTTCTATTCGATTCTACTCTATATGTCCCATCTTTCTCCTACTTCATCCAAATGGTTAGTCAAAAGACAGCAACCAAAACCAGCGCACGAAAGTGCATTGTTAAATAGCTGTATAAACCGAAACAGGTGATGGAGCCATCGGCTTAGTAAACTCGAGATAAAACGTCATGTTCTGAGTACATATCAATGAGAAATTCATTAACATGAAAAAAAAAAATCAAATTGGGAGACTACACTGGTTAGGATATGCATTGTCTAACGATCGTCTACCACATTGCGTCTTATTTACAGTTAACGCTTTCGAGTGGAGACACGCATGATGTAGGATTTTAGCAGATCCATTACAATCCGTGAGAGACAAAACCGAATAATTTAAGATATTTCATTGAAATAATATCATCAAGAAGAAAAAAACTGCGTGGTTTATGTACAGATGAACCTTTTAACTGAGTCATTTTTTAGTGCGATGCCGCTTAATGTGTTTAGGAATTTTGGTTTTCCGCCGCTCCGCTTGTTGTTCCTTGACTGTTTTTTTGCGAAGCTTTCTACTCGTTGGTGATTCGTTCCGCGGTCGAGCCTGCGATACGATTGTAGTGATCGCCTCCCCATCACGTTGACTCTCTTCATGCGGACCTTCACTCTCATCTGATGAAGCCAATTGAGAGGAGTGTTCATCATCCGAAATAGGTTGCATTAGGATATCTGGTTTAGGTTGAGCTCCAGTAAGATCAGGTTTCATCCCACTTACTGCAGCATAATACACCTCTGATGGAGCCAGCCTTCCGGTTTGCAGCTTGAGAAAATCACGCACGAAAGGATAAGCTGCCTGTAAATGACGAGGAATATGCACAAAGCGAAAAGCAGCATCTTCCGACTCGATAGTCTGGTTGAATCCACGTTCTTCCGCGGTTTGTAGGAGTTGCTGTAAATAGACACGTGAAGCGGGATCATCCGGTGCTGGTAAACTGGGATTGACTACCCATTCAAAGAACTCGCGCAATGTTAATGTCACCACGCCCTGCTTACGGAAAAACGCATTTACGTTGTGACAATCTGTTCGGAGATATTCTAGCGCATGGGGAGACTCGTGTTCGACCGACTAAAAGAGACAACAGAGGGTAGACGATATATGTTATAGCATGTTATAGCACTTAAATAGTCTTAAATTACGGTTTCATGCATAAAAGCGATTATTTGCGTTCGTTGTATCATGATCTGAGAAACAAAATTGTTGCTACCTCCGTCCAAAAGGCTAGAACACATCTATAAATATTACTCAACAGAGCGTAACACTCATGATCTAATTATAACTGACTCAAAATAGAACTGAATGGTGTCCCGAGTTTGCTGATAGGGGTTCATCATCATTGTACAGCGGAATACTGATCACTATCAAACTCAAGATATACAAGGTAAGTGATGGGGTTAGTCACCCGGCACATTAAATAAACCACTGCGGACGATCAGCGACTGTCCGATGGCTGAAAGAAGTTTTGATTGGTTAGCTTAATCTACCACAAATCACCGCATATAGCCTGTAGGCGACGCTGCGAATAGGTGATTGCGGTTAACCACTATCATACATTGTTTTCCTGTAGAGGCGAATGAACTGCAGAATGGATCAGCCTGGAATAACTGCGTTTCCTTGCAGGCGGTACTTGGATGTTCAATCTAGGACGAGGTGCCCTCAGTAACGCTACTCCGAAATGGTGACGGGAACACTGCGAAGCCTCATGTTTCTACTGAATCTAAGATAATATCCATGGTGTCGATGTATTCGTCAGCCAAACGTAACTGAAAACGGTAAAAAGCACGATTCACACAACTCACAACTGATGACACCGGGATAAAAAGTGGTGGAAACAAAACGCACCTGGGAGACATCTATCATNCCATCCATATACAGTAAGTTATATTCACTGAGGTCAGCATGGACTAGTCTGCATTTTTGATACAAGGTCCGCACATCATTGACTATTTGTGCATAAAGTTTTGTCCAATCGACAGGAGAATGATCATTATTTTCAGGTTCGATGAAGCAAGCATCTTTCAGTTTAGGAGCCGGAATGCCATCCTTTCCGATAAAAGACATCAATAACACAACTCCTTTGAGACGTAATGGAGTGGGACAAGGAATGAGACCAGACTGTTTTATGCGAATTAAATTGCGGTATTCCTTTTCCGTCCATTTGCAAACCAATTTCCAAGATGTGGCTTTGGAATAACCTTGCCGCATTCTGAAATCCCCCTTGACATACTTGTCACGTGATTTAAAGGGCATGATAGACGTCATGTAAACTTTGATCGCAAGATCCGTATCATCTTTATCAATGACATGATAAATATTAGCTTCTTTTCCTGGCGGTTATACTATATGAGCGCAATGTGTTCGTTCTCACCTGTACTTATGCAACCATTAATTTCAGTAAAAATTTCCTGGTTCATCATTTTGAATAAAATGGCTCGTGATCGCCGGTCTAAAGCGTGGTCTGTGGTGGCACGGTCACTTTTATCCTTCGTTTGCCACCCGAACTTTATGGAAAAATCAACCTTATTTTGAAACTTCTGTAAATACAATTTAGTTGGGTCACGAGAATCCGATTCATATTCAGAAAAGTCCAGATCGTCATATTCCTCCAATAGGTCGCCAAAATCCTCGTTAAGTTCATCCATTTTTATGTTAAACGGACTATGAGAACCAACACTGGAAGCCGTTTTTCTAAATGAAACATGAACTTTAAAATTTTAGAGCAGAGTAACGAGGTAACAAATTCAAGAAAAAAGCAATAGTGAATCGTCAATATTAGATTAGAATGTCAGTAGCAGCTGAAAATTAGGAAATAACTTCATGACGAACCAGTAAGCCTATTCCATTTTAGACAGACAACTGTTTGTATGATGTGATAAAAACATTTTAACATGACCTAAATTCGCAATGCATAGTTTGTGTATGCATTGCGAATTTGGGAGTTAATGATAAAATGTACTTCGCTGTGTGACGATAATGACCTCCCCCAAAAACGCTAGTTTCCGTAACTGAAGACGCATCTGAAATCACGGCCTCCAAGCCTTGACGAGTAATGCGAACAGAATAGCGTGAAACCACCTGACTTTGGATGCTTTATGACTTTCCGCTTTCACTTTCCTTCACGTTATGATAAAACTACACTAAGACGCTGTGGTACCTCCATGATCCAACGAGTTGCACAGGACTTTCACATTCGGAGTCATTCAGTGTTAAACTCTTGTTGGTGTCTACTCGATAACATCGAGGCAGAGGCGATGATGCAGTGCTTTGGTCACCGTCATCGGTGTGCCTAGGATCCCGTGGCATGAGGTTCGAAATTCAACACCGACGCCTAAAATTGGTGATAGGCAGCGTTGTTGTCGTTCAGTCTGATAGCACGCCTAACCTAGCTAGGCCTTACGCGGTTCGGCAATCCAGAAGCTTAGATTGCTGGTTTTAAACGCTGAACAGCAAGATTGCGACAACCGAAGCCACCGTATCTGCTATTCATCCCACCAATATCAATTGTGTTATTTGTTTTATTCGAAAGCAGCAAATGAAAACGATTTTTCCAACAAAAAAGATTCCAAAAATTAGAAATTATGTACACAAGTGACGGATCGAAGGTAATTCAGCACAATTTACTTTTCTTAAACACATAATAGTCATCAAAACCATCAAAATCATTGTACAGCGCAATACAACGAAGTGAACTTCACTGATCGCTGCCAAACTCATATTGCATACAAGGTTAGTGAGAATGCGTAAGGAGGATTGGGACTGGACTTCATTTCAGCGACGGTCAACACAGAGTAAACAGTTTAACTGTGCATACGTACCATTTCAAACATTCTGGTCTCATAAGAAGTGGCAGCAAGATCGCCATTGCTGCCGGTTCGCAGCTATGACCTTCAGTGTCTCCAACTGTGGTATTACTATTGTTCAGTTGGCGGGATAAAAGCCATGTATTGGAAATCCAGGTTATTCATATTTACCCTCCTTCCTATCATCATCAACGCTAAGCGAGATACAGTGGAGCGAGTTTCACTGATCGCTGCCAAACTCACAATGTACACAAATCAAGTGATAAAGCACAAGATGGAGAGGGATTGGGCCTACTTGGAGGGAGGCAAAGAGAAGGAACCTCTATGGTCAACACAAAGTACACAGTCTAAATGTTCATACATACCTTTTCAAGCATTCTGACCTGATAAGAAATGAGAAGAAGAACGTCACTGCTGTCGGTTAATCCCCATATCCGTCAGTGTCTCCAGCCAGCCAGTTGCAGAGTCTTTTGGACCCCAACCTAGAAGACAGGAGACACCGATTCTACCTAATCGCTCTGTACATTTCTTCATGTCTCGCCTCCACGCCGTTTCTTCCAACCTGCAGCCGCGACTGCGAACAAGGCAGACGATGGCTGGACATGCGCAATACGTGTCCTAACCAGCGAAGCCTACTCCTTTGCATTCGATGGGACAACGAATTCCCCATCGAATCATTACCAAATACGCGACGCCTCACCTCAGAGTTGCTTACAAGCTCGCTCCATCCAACCAGCGCCCAACTACGTAAACAGCTATTTATCAGTGTATCTACCTACCTATCTACCTGTCTCATCTATCTATCTTTCTATCATCTATCCATCAATCCAGATATTTTTACCCTCCCCGACAGACGATAGATGAGCGGCAGACCGTTTGACTGCATCGAGCGTCAGTGCGTGCCCCCTGATGCCGTTGTTCCTCAAGTGGAATTTCAATTCTTTCGTTTTACCGTCGAACAGAGAGAGAGCAACCCGATGTTTTCCTGGACGCCTGCATCCCAGTGCCGGAAATCGTCCCCCCAGTGCACACTTATTCGGTGTGGGCAAACTTGAGGAGGTTTGAGTATGTACGTGCCCACCTCGGAATACGGAGGACAGAACCCTTGATTTCATTCAAATCGGTGTCCCCAGATAAGGCCCCTTCCGGAGCGACTGATAGTTGTTCAGCACAGACCCGTCTGGAGATGGGGGATCACAAAGTGCCATGTTTGTCTGACACATGTACTGCTGTTTATATCGCCGAAACTCAGTCAACCGAGTCAAAAGTCTCAAATACGGTGGAGACAGTTGACGAAAGCGAGCCGCAAGTTGACAGCGCAACAAACCCAACTTTCTCTATCGAGAACACGACGGACAAGCGTTTGCTTGTCGTCAGCAAAGCGATGAAGAAGTTAAGAATGCCGGTGAAACGGAAACCGAGTGCAGGAAGCAGAGTACAAGCACCATGTCGAAGGCCGTTACGGTGACCATGGAGCAGCGAAGTTACTCCCAAGATGACAAATTTCATGTGCCGAAAGGTGTGTCAAGGTGAACTCGATAGATGGCGCTGGAACCATAGCCGTACGCCAGAGTCGTCAAAAATCAACATACTAGTCGGGTCACCAAAAATCAATGATGAAGCCACAAGAAACTGTGAAACCAATTACGAACCCGTTCGAACTCTCAAAAGAAAGAACTCATTGCCCACTGCATGCATGATTAATTTTCGCCGGAGAGCAGTGTTGTGAGATACTACTCACCTTTGTGAGTAGTAGATAATAGTTGGTGATTTATTTCAGCGATCAAAAATCAACAAGATCATCGCGGTAAAATTGCTGTATCTCAAAGAATAACTATCGATTGTTACATTTGTTATCCGTTGTGCAGGCAGGAACTGCGAAGGTATGTTCCTGATGAGATGTTTGTGTTACGTATGCCAAATTAATGATGTCCCATCCGTAATCCTCACTCAACAATTGCCCTCCACCGTGCAGTCCTTTGGAATTGAAACATTCGAGTCTCCTTCACGCAGCAAGTATCGGTCTCAAAGGACCCCATTATAAGCGCCAGAAAAGCTTGTTGACTTACCTGCATCAAGGTACTCACGTTGAAGGCTCTCAGATTCAGTGATTGATGAGGCTTTAGAATCTGCTATTCGTTTCGTGATACATTACTTACAGTGCTATTCGGCAACGACCTTGGGCAAGCGACATCCAAGTTGCTTGAGGGACTATAACAGGTCAAAAGAAGGGGAAAATGGATAGGGCTGGCTACTGAAGACAATGAATTAAACAATGGTTGGGATATCTGAACAGTAGCCCACTTATCACTACCCACCCCGCTCGATGCAATGGGCAGCGTGATCCTGATTATCCTGCGTGACAACCGATGAAGTATGGAATTATTTTTATTTTGTGTAAAGACTGAACTGAAATGAACTGACAGTAGGTTTCCCCTGTCCTCTAGGTCGGGGTCTGAAAGATTTCTCAACTTGTTGGTTCGCGACATTGAAGGACAAGACAGCGAACCGACAGAAATGGCATTCCTTTTGTCATTTCCTATTAGGTCAGGATGCTTGAAAACGTATGTATGCGCAGTTAGGTTGTACACTCTATGTAGAGCTTCACTTTATTTGCCTCCTTCAAATTAAGTCCACAGGCTATCCATTTTGAACTTTTTCACTTATTTTCTATACATTGAGAGCTTGGCAGCGATAAACGAAATCCACTTCACATCACTGTATTTCACCCTAGGAGGAGGATGATCGCCGGAGACCTAAAATCACGTGTTGGTTGTCCGTTGAGGCCCGTCTTTGTGGATTCGATAGATAATGGGGATCGACTTGCTAATATGTACTTAGAACAGCCTCTCCCTTATTAGCACAGACTTCAAACACTTATGGCATCACTAAATGTAACCTGTCGCCAACGCTGACGACGCCTCAGGGTGATCACAGCGATTAGCAATGATGAAAAGGATGGATGAAAGACTGCCGCTCATCGTGGTCTACCAGTTTGGACTCTGATCGCACACCAGTTTGTGTCCAGTTGTCGATATGATTCAGTGGCTGTAAAAATGCAAACAGTGATATTGTTAAGCCTTTTAACGCAGTTGCGCTGGCCGACTAACGAAACATGTTAATCGCAAGGCTAACTACTGCTGCCACATGTGAAACAATTTCAATATGGTCAAGCAGAAAAATGGTCGAGCCGTGTGTGGAAATGAATCCGAGACAGCTCCAAATTGGTACACCATTTGGATTACGTAACCGAAGTTAGCCATGCTAAGTAGTGACTATGTGAACAAGCGATTCTCTCTTCATTTGGTCACGGCAGTTTGAGAGCTTGCATCAACTTTCGTTTTACGCACAGTTCAGGCTATCTTTATGGCGGCTCAGCTAAGATGTGTTCTCTACGTCACCAAACATTCAATGCCACAACAAAGATAAGCTGCCTATATTGACCTCGTCTATGACTGTCTATCTATTCAAGTATAGTTATGTTGCGATTTATGTAGTTATCTCAACGTCTCGCAATCCGCGTTGGCTCACTTATGAGGGGAATGAAGCTGTATCAAGCTCAATTGTTGCTCATTGGGTAGAGAAGGGACAGTTGACGTGTACTCGGCATTCACAATCAATTATCAAGTCTCACCACACCCCTGGACCGCAAAGGCGATTAGCAACTGACTAATGGAGCCTAAGCTGAGCTTACAAGGGAAGAGAGAATCGCTTGTTCACAATCACGAAGTAACCGCGAATTTCGGCTAAGCAATTCAAACAGCGCACCAAATTGGAGTTCTCTCGGTCTTCTTACCAGACTTACCTACTACTTCATTTGACCTTACCGAAATTGTCTCATATGAAAGTGATTGCAAAGGCTTGAAAATGGATTACCGGGATACATG